AAGAAGTATACTTACAAAAGCTTTATATATTGATTTGCTGTCATAGATTATTAAAGTAACTATGATGGGCTATTTTAAGTTTATAAAAGACAAGTCTAAAAATAGACGCAGGGAGCAGGAAGCCCACAAGTGACAGAGATGCAGAGCTGCTTAAAAAAAGAACAATGTCATTTCTATTCATGAAAAATGCAGTAAAAACTCAAAACTAATTTGTTGCGTTGAACCGCAGACTCTGGGATATAGACCAGAATAAATCATTCAGAACACGGCTCAAAGAGCCGGAAATGGGAAATGTAAAAGAGGTGAGGAGACGTGGAAGTTAGAGCCATCAGAATGAGAAGTTGCCGTGAGGAAGTCTAATCAATTGGAGTTTCTGAAAGAGAGAGAGTAGGCAAGGCTATATTGAAAGAGATAATGAAGGAGAATTTTTTCAGCACTGGAAAATCTGCCAGTGCTGGTGGAAAGGCATCGGCCCACGGATGGGGTATTCCTTGATTGCTGAACAGTATTTCATCGTGTAGATACAGTACAATTTGTTTATTCCCCTGTTGATGGGCATTCGATAGTTTGGGGCTATTTCAAGTAGAGCTGCTATGAACGGTGGTGTGCAAGCCTTTGTGTGGGTAATATCATTTCTTTTTTCTTGATCTAGGAATGGAATATCTTGATCAGATATAGTAGGTGTGAGCTTAATTTAAGAAACTGCCAAGCCCTGGCTGGCGTAGCTCAGTGGATTGAGCACGGGCTGGGAACCAAAGTGTCCCAGGTTCGATTCCCAGCTAGGGTACATTCCTGGGTTGCAGGCCATAACCCCCAGCAACCGCACATTGATGTTTCTCTCTCTCTCTCTCCCAATCTCTCTCTCTCTCTCTCGCTCCCCCCCTTCCTTCCCTCTCCCCAAAATAAATAAATAAAATCTTTAAAAAAAAAAAAAAAAAAAGAAACTGCCAAACCATTTCACATTGCAACCAGGTGAATGTGAGAGTCCTACTCATTCTGCAGGCTTGCAAACTCTCGAGTGGCCAGTCTCTGCAATTTTACCCTTTTCAGTAAGTGTGTAGTATTATCTCAGCGTAGTTTTAATTTGCATTTTTCTGATGACTAATGGTGTTGAACATAGTTTCGCGTGCTGTTTTGTCTTCTTGTATGTTTCTTTGGAGAAGTATCTGTTCAAATCCGTTGCCTATTCTTAAATTATGATATTTTTCTTTTATTGCCGAATTGTAGTAGTCCTTCATCTATTCTAGATATAAGCTCATTATTGGGTTTATGATTTGCAAGTATTTTCTCCCAGTCTTTGAACTGTCTTTTCATTCTGTTAATGCTGTCTTTTGAAGCACAAGGTTTTAAACTCTGATTCATGTATCAGAATTTTGGTATTTGATTTGATTATATCTAAATTTTCTTTTAGTGCTGAGCTTTTGGTGTCATGGCTAAGAAATCAGTGCCTAACCCATGTTCCCAAGCAATGAATTACTTCCATGTTTTCTTCTGGGAGTTTTGTAATTTTAACTCTTACATATAGGTGATCAATTTTGAGTTAATTTTTGTGTATAGTATGTGGTAGTTATCCTTTTTTTTTTTTTGCATGTGGATATCCATTTGTCCCAGCACCATTTGTTGAAAAGACTGTTCTTTTCTCTTTAAAATTTCTTGTCCCCTTGATTGACCATAAACATAAGGCTTTGCCTCTGGGCTCTCACTTGTGCGCCACTCATCCACACGTCTGTCCTTAGGCCAGTGTCACAGTGTCACAGTCTTAGTTACTGTCGCTTTGCGGTAAATTTTCAAGTCAAGAAGTGTATCTTTCGATTTTGTTCTTTTTTCAAGATTGTTTTGGGTGTCTGTTTTTTGCATTTCCATATGAATGTTAAGATCACTCTTTCTGTAAAGAAACTAAAGAGGATTGTGTTAAATCTGTAGAAAATTCGGGGAGTATTGCTATCTTAATAATATGTCTTTCAGTCCATGAAAATAGGATGTCTTCATTCCTTGAAGTCTTTTTAAAATAAATCTATTTATTTTGAGAGAGGGAAAAGAGGGGGGGAGAGAGAGAGAGAGAGAGAAACATCAATGTGCGGTTGCTGGGGGTCATGGCCTGCAACCCAGGCATGTGCTCTGACTGGGAATCGAACCTGCGACACTTTGGTTCGCAGCCCACGCTCAATCCACTGAGCTACGCTAGCCAGGGCCCTTGAAGTCTTCTTTAGTATCTTTCAGTAAATGTTTTGTAGATTTCAGTGTCCTGGTCTTGCACTTCTCTTGTTAAAGTATTCCTAAGTATGTTAGGGCTCATTTAGATCTTATTATGGGTAGAATGGATTTCTTAATTTCAGTTTTAGATTGTTCTTTTTTTAGCGTATAGAGATACAGCTAATTTTTGTGGCAGTCATATGTCTTGCAATTGCATACAGCTTGTTTATCCTAATAGTTTTAGTGGATTCCTTTGCTCTTTTTATTTACAAGATCAAGTTGTCTGTAAATAAAGAAAGTTTTACTTTTTCATTTCCAGTATGGGTGCCGTTTGTAGCTTTCTAGTCTACTTGTGCTGGCTGTAATCTCCAGCACACTGTCGAACAGAAGTGGTGCGAGTGGGCACCCTTGTCTTTTGCGTGGGTCAGAGGGACAACATTCAGTCCTTCGGCACCTACCGCGATGATACCAGGTTGATTGTAGCTCTTTCACAGATACTCTCTATTTTGTTGAGAAGATTCTCTTCTGTTCCTTGTTTGATCAGCTCTCTTTTTTATCATGAATGATTGTTGGAATTTTCAGATCTTCTTTGCCTCTACCGAGACGATCATGTGATTTTTGTTGCATACTTGATTATGTAATGTATTACATGAGTTGGCATTCAGATGTTAACCAACCTGGCCACCCTAGAATAAATCTCACCTGGTTATGATGCTTCCGTGTTTCTGGATTCAGTTTGCTAGTGTTTTGTTGAGAATTTTTGTGTCTGTAGTCATGAGGGTTGTCCCTCCTTTCACGTTCAACCTATTTGTATCTATATGTAAAGTACATTTCTTGTAGCCGGCATGTAGTTGGGTCATGCATGTTTAGCCACTTTGACAATCTCTGCCTTTTCATTGGTACATTTAGAGCATTTACACTTAATGTGATTATTGGTGTGGTTAGGTTTCAGTGTATCATTTTGCTGTTTTTATTCATCCCCCCCCCCCCCGTTTTTCGTTCCACCTGGTGTGTACGCGTGCTCTTCGCTCACTGTTCATCCCAGCTGTTTTTGTCCCCCCCCCTTTTTTTTCCTGCCTTCCTCTATATGAAGACCTTTTTTCTATAATTCCATTGGATCACCTTTGTGGCTCATTAGCTAGACCTCCGTTTTCCTATTTTAGCGGTTGCTCTGGCGTTTACAATGCATGTATTTAACTTCGCAGGCCGTTGCAGACCCACTGCTGTGTGCTAGCGCCAACTGGGGTTGCCACCAGGCGTGGAAAGGCTCCTCTGGAGGAGTGCCAGCCTGGTGGGTCCTCAGGGAGATGCCAGGGCGGGGTGAACAGTGCTGGCGAGGTCAGTGGAGAGTGCCAGAGACGGCACCTGTCGGCATCCGACCAGCTAGGTGCAAAGAGAGTAAAGAAGGCGGGGAAGGTGGCACCCACCAGCACTTCTGATTCTGGAGAAGGGTCCCTGTCCCTCCAGCACATTCCCTAAAATTAGCCCATGTGTCACCTTCAGGTATGACCCAGGTGCTTTTCAAACTGCTGCCTCTGTGCTGGGACTTGGAAAGAGCACGGTCTTGGTTTCCCTCCGCCGTCTGTCATGGCGGCTGCTCTTCCCGGTGCAGGTCCCCGGACTGGGGCTGGACCTCTCGCTCCCGGGTGGGGGGATCTCCACAGTCGCGATACCCACCCCCACTCGTGGGTCACCACACGGGGATGGGAGGGTAGAGTGGGTCCTGACTAGACTGAGTCTGCCCCTCGCACCCCTCTCGCTCTGTCGTTGTAGAAAGTCTCTTCTGCTAGTTTTCAGTTTGTTCGCAGAGACAGCTGTTCTGTGTGCAGCTGTAGTTTTGTTGTCAGGGAGAGGAGGTGAGCTCAGGGTTTTCCTACTCCACCACCTCGAACCTGAAAGCCAGGAGCGTTGCTCTTTTTTTTTTTTTAAGATTTTTTTTTTTTTTAATTTTTAGAGAGGGAAGGGAGGGAGATAGAGAGAGAGAAACATCAATGTGGGGTTATGGCCTGCAACCCAGGCATGTGCCCTGGCAATGGAACCTGTGACACTTTGGTTCGCAGCCCGAGCTCAATCCACTGAGCTATGCCAGCCAGGGCGCAGGAGCGTTGCTCTTGAATGGCCAGTTTAGCTTGTCTGTGAAATGTCATTCCTTGCCACTGGTGCACTGTCCCCGCAACAAATGCATCTCCTGGACATCAAGTTCTTGTACAGTCTTAGAGTTCAGGTAAATTTGAAACAGACTCCATTTTTTCTAATATATCTTGTTTATGACTTAGCTGGTGTTGTGTGTGTTACAGTGCTTAAGCTATATTTTTCTAGTAGTGTAATTCTAAGCGTTAAACTATCTCACAAAGTATGAAGGTATTTGTTTATTGGCCCCCATGATAGAGTCTTTGAGTTACCAAAGGAATTGATTTGGAGCAAGTGAAGTTTTTCTCACACTTTTTCTGTGAGTGCCATTTTATGTTTCAAATTTTGCTTAGTCATCAATTGAGATATGTAAGGCTAAAGAGAATATTGAGAGTGGAGATTTTCTTTTTTCCAGATTAAAATTGAAATTGTTCATTTAGTAATTTTTAAGCATGTTATTTTATCAACTTATAAGGAGTCCAGGTTATACAAAAATTACATATAGGAACAAAAATCTATCGTCCTCTAAACTTTTGAACATCTGAGAAAGGTGGATAATATGATTTATTACATGTAGTGATACCTAATAGCATTAAGCATGATCATTTTAAATTGTTTTCTCTTCTACCAACAGATTAATATTAAAAGCGGAAATTTGTGTCTTTTGCTTGATACAGGAAAGCGAATGTGATGGCAACAGAATTTGTAAAGACTTGCTGTAGAGGATGTTTTTATGGTGAAGCAGAAAAGCACAACGGTGAGTTTCACTTTACTTCGACTTCACCAAGCATTTATTTGTGGCATTTGGCCATATCAGGGTAAATGAGACGTATATCCTGACTTCATGGGAGAGGCAGAAACATAAGGCTCCCTAGGCAAGCAGGGGGCACCGTGGGACGATCCCACGAAGAAGACGGCAGTGGGCGTGGGAGTATGAAGAGGGTTTTAGCGGCTGAGTGGGCAGAAGGGAGGAAGAGAAGCTGGGCATCAGACACGAGTGTTACAGGCGGATGAGATACAGGCGAAGACAGGGGGAGAGTACAGTGTGTGTTTCGGGGACACCATACTCTGGCACATGTTTTAGTGTCCATTTTATGAACAGTGCATTAAAAATGCCTTTTGTGGGCAAATGACCAATGGAGGAGGAGGACACCAGGAGAGAAGAGACCCATAAACTTGTCAGGACCCACATTGATCAAGGAGTCCTGGACATTTCTCTTCCTACTTTGGGTCTGAGACCAGAACTTTACTTTTCATTGGCTCTTTCTCGTATTCCTTAGTCTAGAGCATAGCTTCCAAGTATATTTGAGTATGAAGGCTTCTTTTTTGCATTAAAACATTTTATAAATCAATACACAATGGTAGTTGCACTTTTATTCATTCTCCAGACAATACTGATAGTTCACAGATTAACTCTGGGTGTCCCTTGCCTCCTCAGCCTAACTCACGTGTTTTAGGAATCACGTGTCGTTTAGAGAGTGGACCGCACAGGTCAGGGGTGCCAGCACAGGGACAGCTGCCGTCCTATTTGGGTCGGTGTGTGTTTTATTTTGTGATTAGGTGAAGATGTTTGTCGGCTCGGAGACCTAAACTTGGCTTCCGTTAGAGTTGCTTTATGTATTTAAGACTGATGTGCACCATTAGTATTGACAACAAGAATTGCTTTGTCGAGAGTAGTTTTGACTGGCTAGATTTTACTTGAAAGTATTGTGTAATTAACTTGAAAATAAACTTGTTTTCCATCTGTGAACTCTTTTGTGGAAATGAGACTCTATAAACTATGCTTATCACTATAGTAAATTAATATTCTTTGGCAGTAGCATATGCATTGCTCAAATATCAGCTGGACAGAATTGATGTAGAGTCCAGCTGTGCCTGATAGGACCCCGGAGTAGTTTATGTCTCAGCAGTTTGTTCCGAAATGATTAAGTAAGTACCAGAGCATGTTAGGCTTGGATTATTATATGTAAATCTACATGCAGGTCTGTGACCTCTGTCTTTCCTCCCCCTTCTTTCACGCACAGTCTCCGTGGAGAGGGACTTCAAAGCCGCAGCGCCAGACTGCTACCGCACTCCCGTCCGTGCGCCCCCGCTGACCGCCGTCTCCGTGAAGCCGCAGGTCGGCTGCACTGAGGATTACTTACTGTCCAGATTGCCCCCTGATGGCAGACAGGTGCCCTTCGTGGTGCCCACGTTTAAGTTATCGTACATTCAGCCCAGGATACAAGCAACCCCTTCACATCTCGAAGAACTTGAAGGTAAACAGCAAGACGGCAGGGCTTAAAATCAACATGCGGCTTTTAAACGCTGTTACTTTGCTCTTTCGTATCTTCAACACAAAGATGTACCTTCTATATGCAGATTTTATATTTCCCTTGTTATATTTTGCTCTTTTTATAGAGGAACTTAAGGTATAGTGTCTGATCATAATACAAGACATTCGTATGTAGATTTGGCCCCTTTTTTTAATTTTTAAATTTTTTTAAAATACCATTTTTTAAACATTTTATTTATTTATTTTTTAGAGAGAGAAGGGAGGATGAGAGAGAGAGAGAGAGAAACACCAATGTGCATTTGCTGGGGACCATGGCCCACAACCCAGGCATGTGCCCTGACTGGGAATTGAACCTGCGATGCTTTGGTTCGCAGCCTGCGCTCAATCCACTGAGCTACCCCAGCCAGGGCTTAGATTTGGCCCCTTTTAAAGGAATAATATAACCATAGCACATCAGTTTCCTTCACACACCTAGAAAAAAAAATAGAGGGGTTATTCTGCATTTGATTAGTCAATATAGGGATCATTTGTCTACTGTCTTCTAAAGTTAGTGTAAAAAGAAATAAGGAAGCAATGAAGTAGTCTTTCTTCCTTCTCATCTTTCTATACCGCTACACTTCCTGGTCTGTGAGTACACTTGCCAGTCTAAATAGCTGCTCGAATGAGGTGGATTCATTGGCTGAATTTTGGCTGATGTTATAGAGGCCACTGGGCTGATGAAGAGGAAACAACGTGTAACTCTTGTATTTAAAAAAAAAATAATTTTGTTTTAGTGGATGGAAGCAGTCAGCCACAATGATCATTTTCCCTCAAAATGTTATGAAAAATTTCAAATATACGGGAAAATTAAAAGAACTTAATGACGAATACCCATATACGTGGTCTGTTCAGAAAAAGTCCAGCCATTGTTAATATAACGAGAATGGTTTGTGTGGCATCGATGTAACCTGGCAGCCGCAGCCAAGAAGAGTGGACTGGCATGCGCATGTGTGAACAATGACTTCACTGCACTGGTCAGTGGGGGCGGTAGACTCCACTGAGGGAGCATGTGTGCTCTGTGGCTGTCACATTCAAATGACTGAGCAAAGAGAGCAATGACTCTGCATCCAATTTTGCATTAAGCTTGAACATTCCTCCGTGGAAACTATTCAGGTGATTCAGAAGGCCGCAGCTATGGGCAACCGGTGACTGGCAGCTTCATCAGGACAACGCTTTCACTGATGCATCACGTCTTGTGCAGAGTGTTTTGGGAAACATCAAATCACCCAGGTGACTCAGCCCCTCTACAGCCTAGATTTGGTGCCCTGCGCCTTCTGGCTTTTTCCAAAACTTTTAAAATCACCTTTGAAAGGAAAGAGATTTCAGACCATCAGTGAGATTCAGGAAAATACAGCAGGGCAGCTGATGGCGATTGGGAGAACTGTTTGAGGTCCCAAGGTGCCTCCTTTGAAGGGGACTGAGGTGTCCTTGTCCTGTGTACAGTGTTTCTTGTACCTTGTATCTTCTTCAGGGAATGTTTCTCCATTTTTCAGGGTGTGTGGCTGGATACTTTCAGGACAGACCTCATACCCACCACATAGATTCTTATGTTTACATTTTCCTATACTTGTTATCACGTATCTATCCATCTATCCATTCCGCTGTGTGTTCTTAATCCGTTTTGTGGGGGAGAATGCATGTGAGAGTAAACTGTGGACATCAGTAGACTTCCCTCTAAATGTTTACGCAAGCACTTCATTTACTCGAGTTCAGTGTCTGTTTAGTCTTCTTCTCTCAACAAACACTTCACACACAATGAGCTGCCCAGTTTTAAGTGTGCAATTCTTGACTTTTGGCAAATGCATATACCAGTGTAATCAAGATTCCTATCAAGATCTAGACTATTTCTTCAAATATTTTTTTCTTCCCCATCCTTCCTCTTTTCTTCTGGGGTCTAATTACGTATGTGTAGGACCCTTTGATATTGCATTAGGTATCTCTGAGACTTTTTTACCCAACCTTTTTTTTTTCTCTCTGTTCTTACAATTGGATAATACTGATCTGTTTTCAAGTTCATTGTCTCGGTACTTTGTTATTTCCATCGAGCCGTTAAGCCCATCCAGTGAACTTTATATTTTAGACATTGTCATTTTGTGCTGTAGAATTTACATTTGGCTCTTTTCTGTAGTTCTGTCTTTGCTGTTGTTATTTTTTATTACTGTGAGCCTATTTTCTTTTATGTCTTTGAGCTTTTTTAAAAAAGATTTTATGTATGTATTTTTAGAGAGAGGGGAAGGGAGGGAGAACGAGAAGCAGAGAAACATGGTGGGTTGCTTCTCCTGTGGGCATCCACTGGGGACTGAACCTGCATCCCAGGCATGTGCACTGACCAGGAGTCAAACTGGCTACCTTTTAGTTTGCAGGACGATGCCCAGCCAACTGAGCTGCACCGGTCAGGGATGAGCTTTAACATCTTCATCTACAAATTCTAACATCTAGGTCATCAAGGTTTGGATTTTGTGTATTGCCTTTTTTTTTTTAATGAGTCACATTCTCCTGTTTCTTTGGGGGTAACTTTAGATCGTATTCTGGATGTTGGATGTTATGTTGTAGAGACTCTGGAATCTGTTTTATTACTCAGAAGGTTTCTTTCTTTTTTCTTTCTTTTCTTTTTTTCAGCAGACAATTAACTTGGTTGGACTCTGCAACTTGGTAGTGGCAGCTCTTAGCTCAGCTTAGTTTTATTGCCCTTAGTTGGAGTCCCTCCCGCACACGTGTGGTTCAGGCACCAGCTAGGTACTAAGCAGACTTGATTCACATAATTTGGGGTTTTCTCCTTTCCAAGATTCCCACCTCACTTTCTAGCCGCTGTGATTGCTCTGAGCTTTGCCTTCTGGTTCTTTTGGCCTGGTTCTTCAGGCCAAAAGACTGGATTTTCTATTGGCGTTTTATCCGCTTTGCTCAGTGCCAACTGTGGCCTACCCTTTAAGGCTAAAAGTTATTAAAAACAGGTAACTAACTGTGTCCTATTCCTTTTTTTCCAAGAGTCAGATCCTGTCCAGGTTCTGCAGTCATTCACTCTCCAGTGCCTGCAGGGTTTTTGTCTGTTTGTTTGTTCTGGTTTGTTCTAGAGTTTAGTGTTGTATCTACAGGAGAGGGCCTGGTAGGAGGGATATAATTTTTTAAACAAACAAGGAAAGATAAACCCTGTGCCTTATTGTTCATGTATCAGTAGTGTCTCTAAAAAGTAGTTTTTAAAAGCTCTGGCTCACAGGATCCCATGATTAATTGATTTTTCTCTTCCTCTCATACTTGTTTAACAACATTGGGATTAAACCATATAAACAGTCTTGCCATTTGTTTTATTCACATCATATATTATGAGCATGTTTTCACATTCATTGCTTTTTAATGGTTCCGTGGTATTAAATTATATGGGTGAACCATAATGTCTCTAATAAATTATCTATTTTTAGACATTTGGGGTATTTTCTGTTTGTTTGTTTGTTTTAATAACCCAAAAATAAGTAAGAAATACCTACCTGGCAATACGTGGCAGTTTTTCTTTTTCTCTTTTTTTTTTTTTCATGGTATCACTAGGAAACATTACTTTTAAGTTGAATAAGTAAGACATTTGTTTATACTTAAATTATAGCCTCAATAAGGATGTAGTGAAGCCATCTGATTTTTAGCATATTGGAGGGAGAATTACTTTATATACCGTAGTCAAGAAGGTGGTCTTCGTACCTACTTACAGAGGTGAAACCTGTGTAAGCCGTATGTGTACATGCCCCTGTGAGTGATGAGCCGATAGGGAAATCTAGAAAGGGAGAAAGAGCAGACCTGTAGCAATAGTGACTGAAGTTATGTTTCCCATATTGGAAATTTGTTTTGTTGCATTGCTTGCTTGATGATGAGTCTGCTTCGATAACAGATCTGTCATTAGCATTTTACCGGGCTTGCTTTATTACCTTTCTCTACCTGTCACCTATCCACCTGTCATGGATAGTGCATGTTAATACTGAAATTTTAAACAGGGCTTTTGAGAGGTGTAGACAATTTTGTTACTTTACATTTAAGTTTGTAGCACCGCGGTTCTCTAAATTGAGAGACATTCCTCCCGAACTTAAAAAATGATATCACTGTATGCTGTTTGAGGGGAAAATCGGATTCTGTAGCGGCTTCCTTATACAGGAAACGTGAAATCAGACCGTTCTTTTTTTAGATATAGCCATAAAGGCCGTGAGTCATTGTTAGTGCTGCTTACTCTCGACAGCGCTGTTCTCGTTACCACGAACAGACTCTCACAGCAGTGCTCGTGTGCTGCGCGATTCAGGTGCCCGCTTTCAGGGGCGCGGGCTCTCTGTGCGGCTCTCTGGCATCGGAGCCGCCTTGGCACCCCTGTGGCCGTGGGCTGTGCTGGGATTGTGCACATAGGTTTTTGGATCAGGACGAGTATAAAATCTCTCACTTCATAATCCCATACTTTTTCTTTTCTAAACTCAATGTGAAACTGCTTTCTTGTTTAGCATAGTTCAGAAAATACTAGTTTATACTGTTGGTCTCATTTACATGGGACAAAAAGAATTAAAACATGGTAATAATTTAAATGTTTAAAAACAACTTTAGGTGTATGTATTATCTCCAATGTGATTATTAGCTTTCAAAAAAATTGATCTAAATAAAAGACACAGTCTCCCAGTCAAGATGGAAGGTTGCCTCCTCACACAACTACAGCAAAAAATTACAACTAGACTACAAAACAAATATCACCCAGATCTGTCTGAAAATCGGGCTGTGTGGAAGCCTGACAACCAAGGATTTAAAGCAGCCGCATTCATCCAGACCAGCAGGGGGCGTGGAGACAGGGAGAGGCGTGGAGATGCGGAGAGGCGGCGCAACGGGCAGTCCCATGTTCGTGTGTGGCGGATAAAAATAGGGAGGGATCCTTCGGGAGCGGGGGATACCAGCCCCAAACCAGACCACCCAGCCCAGGCTTCCAACACCACGGCCATAAGTCCCCATAACTTCAGGCTGTAAAAAGCAGTGGGGGTTGGGGCGGCAGAAGAAACTGCGGGATTCTCCGGAGGTTCCTCCTAAAGGGCCCACAAAGTTCTCAGGACTTACACAGACTCACCCGCTCTGGGATTCAGCACTAGGGCAACAGCTGGAGGGGCACAAGTGGCAGACGGGGAGAAAATCAGGTGACTGGGAACAGGGCGAGTGCTGGGAGACAGCTTCCTCCCGGGCAAATCTTCAGAGGCCAGACTGCAGCATTATCCTCTCTTCAAGCCCTCCCCCGACACAGAGCCACAAAACAGTGGAACATGTTGCCCTGCCCTGACAATTAGCTGAGGCTCCTCCCTATACAATTTACAGGTGCCTTTTCTATAGTAGGCCATGCTACTAAGACAGGGAGTCAAAGCAACTCTACCTGATGCACAGAAACAAACAGGGAGGCTGCCAAATTGAGGAGACAAAGAAACATGGCCCAAATGAAAGGACAGAACAAAACTCCAGAAACTGACTAAACGAAATGGAGATAAGCAACCTATCAGATGCAGAGCTCAAAACACTGGTTATCAGGATGCTCAAAGAATTCATTGGGTACTGCAACAGCATAAAAAAGACCCAGGCACAAATGAAGATTGCATTAAGTGAAATAAAGAAAAATCTAAAAGAAATAAAGAGAAGCAATAGAACTTCATTCTTAATGAAGCTAAGAATCAAATCAATGATTTGGAACATAAGGAAGATAAAAGCATTCAATCTGAAAAAGCATTTTCAGCAAGAAGAGAAAAGAATTAAAAAAAAACAAGGCTTGAATAAGGAGCCTCTGGGACATCTCTAGACATTATCTGAATCATAGGGGTGCCAGAAGAAGAGGAAGAATGAGAAATTGAAGACTTATTTGAAAAGATAATGAAAAAACTTACCTAATTTGGTGAAGGAAATAGACATACAAATCTAGGAAGCACAGAGAGTCCCAAACAAGGCGGACCTAAAGAGGACCACACTAAGACACATCATAATTAAAATATCAAAGGTTAAAGATAAAGACAGAATCTTAAAAGCAGCAAGAGGAAAGCAGATAGTTAGCTACAAAAGAGTTCCCATCAGACTATCAGCTAATTTCTGAAAAGAAACTTTATAGGCAAGAAGGGGCTGGAAAGAAGTATTCAAAGTTGTGAAAGGAAAGGACCTACAACCTAGATTACTCTATCCAGCAAAGCTCTCATTTAGACTGGGAGGACAGATAAAGTGCTTCCCAGATAAGGTCAGTTTAAAGGAGTTCATCATCACCAAGCCCTTACTATATGAAATGTTAAAGGAAACTATATGAAAAAAAGAAGATCAAAACTATGAACATTAAAATGGCAACAAATTCACAACTATCAACAACCAAATCTAAAAAACAAACTAAGTAAACAGCTAGAACAGGAACAGAATCACAGAAATGGAGATCACTTGGAGGGTTATCAGCTGGGAGGGGAAAGGGGGAGAAGGGGAGGAAAGGTACAGGGAATAAGAAACATAAGTGGTAGGTACAGAATAGACAGGGGAGGTTAAGAGCAGTATAGGAAATGGAGAAGCCAAAGAACTTACATGTACGACCCATGGACATGAACTAAGGGGGGATTACCAGGTGGAGGGGGCCAAAGGGGGAAAATTGGGATAACTGTAGTAGCATAATCAAGAAAACATATTTAAAGAAAAGAAAAAGAAATATAAAACATGAAGAAAAAGGAACAAAGAAATATGCAGCTCCATGATTTAGCACAAAGCACACCCCGTGTGCAGTCACCGTCGAGTGAAGGGGCATCAGCAGCACCCCCAGAGCTCCCCCCTGCCCCCTTTCAGTCACTTCAGGGCGTCGGTGTCCCAGTTGTGACAGTCGTCACCGTCTTGCTTTCCTTCCCTTTCCCGCCCAAGTATATATTCCTACATGTTATGGTTTACTTTTTTGTTTTTGGGGGTTTTTTTGTCTTCAAACCCTTATATAAATGAAATGACGTGTTCAGTATATGTTCTTCTGTGTGTGGGCAGCTTCAGTGTGTTCTCACGTGTGCGCAGAGTGTCTTTATCTGTTGTGTTCCCAGTGGGTGACACTCGGCAGTGTTTCCGTGCAGCGCACGGTGGCCTGTTCTTACATAGTCAGTGTGTCCTGCCGTCCCTCTGTGTTGCTGTCGGACACGCGCTTTTCCCAGTTTTCGGCTGTTACGGGTAACGATGCTCGTCCGCATTCTTGTTTCTCGGTGTACATAGGTAAGTTTTTCCGTTGTGCTCTGTCCTGGAATGGCATGTTTGGGTCACACGGTATAAAGAGCTTTAGCTTTAGTAGAAATTAGCAAACTGTTTTTCACAGTGACCATATCAATGTACACTTTCATCGTCAAGAGTCTGATAGGTCGTATTGCTCTACGTTCTTGGCAACACTTGCTACTGTCGGGCTTTTTAATTTTAATCGTTGTGGTGAGCACGCAGTAGTATCTTATTTGAGTTTTCATCTACATTTTTGTCACGACCAGTGAGACGAGCCCTGGGTCATGTTTATTGGCCTTTTGGTTAGACGGACTCTTCGAAGTGTCTGCTGAAGTCTTAAGCTAATTTGTGCATAGGCAGGCTTGTGTTTCTCTCACTGATTTGGGGGGGCTCCTCCTAACTTCTGGGTGTGAGCCCTTGGTCGGTCGGTTGTCTTTGGTGCACACTCCTCCTCCCCCTCTGTGGGTCACCGCTTTACCCTCCCAACTATTCTTTTGACAGTTGTACAATTTCAATTGTAGTGTAGTTCAGTCTATTAGCATTTTTTTTGATAAGTGCTATGTTCCCTTTAAGAGTGCTTCTCTGCCCTAAGACCATGAAGATTTTCTTATAAATTTACATAACATACAAGTTTTATTGGTTTGCCTTTAACATTTAATTTAGAGCTAAAATCCACATGGAATTAATTTCTTGTGACTATATTTAGTTGGGATGAAGGGTTTTTTTTTCTGTATCAATATTCAGTTCTCTTGTCACCTTTTAGTGAAAAGACCATTTTTTCCCTACTCTTGTGCAGTGCCACATGGATTATAAATCAACTACCCGTAAATGGTGTCTCTTTCTGGGACCTCTCTTCTGTCCCACTGATCTTGTAACTGTGCCAATATTCTGTTACTATAAAGTAGAGTGAATCTTTCAGTCTTATTTTTATTAGAGATTACTTTTTGATTATTTTTGGTCCTTAATGTTTAATGTGGATATTTTTATTTATTTTGCAGTTTATTTCTAGCCTCATTGTATTGGTGTTAGAGAGCATACTCTGTGTGGTATCAGTGCTTTAAAACTTATCGAGACGTGCTCTGTGTTTCTCGGCACGTGGTCAGTTTTTATGAATGTTCTGGTCTTCATGAAAAGAGTACACTTCCAAAAAAAAGATACTCTTTTTACGTATAAGATGTCTTTTGTATAAGCAGAAAAATGAAAGGCAACTCTGATCACAAAATATAGAACCATCCGCAACATTTGGGAGTGTGTGCTTGGGGGCAAAGAAAAACATCGGCTACTTCCCAGACTGTCTTGAGAGCAGGCTTCACGGCCGACCCCTGGCAGAACCCTCCGCACGGTTAGAGCCCAGTACACATGCGCTTATTTAGATGCCAACCGCACGTGGGTTAGTACTGGATGTCACTCAAGACAATTTTTTTTTTCCTTCGCCTTGAATGCACCAACTATTGGCTAATAACTTCAGGAAAAGGATGTCATAAAACTTCAGAAACATTTGCTTTCAGGATCTGCCAGAGCATCTTTCGGAGATCGAAAGGTGGAACTTTCCGGCTCGGCCCACCCTGGACCCAGCTATGACGTGTACAACCCGTTCTACATGAGTCAGCGCATTTCACCAGATATGAGGCGGCGCGTTCCTCCCTGTTTAGAAGCCACAAGACTATATGGATCAGGTTTGAAACTTTTTTTTTGGTTTTTCTCCTCTTTGTGTTTCTTTTTTCCTTTCTTTCTCAGAGTTCAGCTTGTTATTGAACACGTACAAAAGAGGGTCAGTCAAACAGACCAAAGCCCGTCAGGCTCCTATCAGATTCTTCCTCCTTCGTTCCCACCTCTTCTCAGCTGGGGCAGCGGCAGCGGCTCCTTGCGTTTCTCTTGTAGCAAATGGACAAGTCAAGTTAAATCTGAGACCCTGGAAGGCTTGAGTCTTATTATGAAAAACAATTTACGAGTAAGAGAAAAACAGGCTTCAGAAGTGATGTGGTAAAAATCAGGACTTCCCTGTGGTGTTACATCTAATATAAAAATGAAAAGATTGGCAAGATTGATAAGTGCTAGTGAGTTCTAAATCCATTTTGTTTGTCCTTATTTGAAAGAAGTTTTGTTTACAGATTATTTTGGATATATTTTATATATCATTTATCCATTCACTGATTCTACAACAGAGACTAGCAGCTTTTTCCTTTTCTGCCCTGTTCTGTGAAATTGATAAATTTAGAAACTGATGATATGATTAGAAATACAAAGAAAATAGAAAATGCCTAAATGATTTTTAGAACTTAGTTTCATATTTGAAACTGCATCAGTTATAGTATTGTACATATCCGATTCACAAAAACCTCATTGTTCTTCAGTTCTTTTATGTATGTATGTATGTATTTACATATGTATACATATATGTACATTGCTGTCTCAACCCTGAATTCAGGATGAGGTGCTAAAAATAAAGCAGACGTATTTATTTAAATACTTATTTATTTCAGTACTGTACTAGAATACACAATAAGAGTGCAGAATTCCATCCTTCAAGGATCTTACAGTTTAGGAGCGATCACACAGGATACAGAATCACATAGGAGTCGGTAGTGACTTTTTAAAAATAAGTGCTCATTATATAGTTGAGTTGCATTTAGCACAGAGGACTTCCTAGATTCTTCTTCTGGGATGAAGAATTGAGGAATATGAGCAAAAAGAATGCATTTTGCCCACTCAGTATTTGGTGTGGGTGTAAAAACGTGTCATTAGATTTTTGTTGGTTTTTGTTTCAAAGTTAAAATAGTTGAAAAATAATGAACTTGGTTAGATTTTATCTCTTAAGTAGATTTCCATATACTATTTGTAATGTATTCCTAAAAAGACTTAGTCCCTTGTAATTAAGTAGAGTCCAGTGTTTCTTTCTCTTTACTGCAAAAATAGGTAATTGACTTGTGTCCCTTTGCAGTTTGTGATTTGAGGGCCAGCAAGCTTCCTGGTCCGTCTGGACTAAGCAAGTCTATGTTTGATCTTACAAGCTCATCGCAGAAGTTCGCCCAGGTAAATTATTTGTAATACTTTCATTATATCTGATCATTTATTTTCAAGCTAAAACCTCAGGAACCTAGGAATTAAATCAGGAACAACACGTTTTACATCTTTTGTAGAGGTATCTACTTTAATATCTCCTCAGATAAACACGTGGCATTTCCCGTGGGCATAACTTTAGGGAACTTTCAACTGATTGCAAAAAGGCAGTAGCTTTTATTTTGGTCTTTTACGGGCCTTACAGCTCTCAGCTGGTGTGCACTCAGACACTTGGAAGCTAAAGTGCCAGGTAGCTAAAGTTGCTTATTGATTTAACTGTCTTTAATGAACATATAACTATGTAGTTAATAAAAATTGGTATTTCCATTAAGATGTAGAACTTTAATTATTCATTCATATTAACACTGTCCTATTTTTCAAATAAAGTTGAGAATTTTTCTTTTTTCGATACAAGTGAACTGTGATTGTTACTAGAAAGTTAGAAAGTAGACCTAAGCAAAAGTAAGAAGAAAACTCTCCTGTATTCCTACAACGGAGAGTAGAAGCACTGTGCGAATATTGCGTGTGTATGCTTGTGGACTTTTTTCGTGTGGATATATAGACATATACTTTATTAATATGGAAGTGTATCCTAAATAACCCTTAATAATCCCAGTTAACTTTTTGCAGACCTGATTTATAGCACCAGTTCTTTAACATGCACTGGAGTTGTGTGGAGGGCTGGTTAAAGTACAGGACGCCAGACCTCACTCCCTGAGCTTTTTTGACTCTGTAGCTCGCACCTCGCCTGAGTTTGCATTTCTAATAGTTAGTTTCCCAGGCGGTGTGGATGCTCCTGGTCCAGAGGGACTGTGCTTTAGTAACTGCCTCTTTGCAGGTTGTTAGGTAACAGGGGCACTTCCATATACGTTCCGATTTTTATTAGTACTTTTAAATATGCAACATAAGCCATAACGTCTTCACCCTTATTGTAAAACCGAACCAAACAGCAAAGGCTTTTCCACATATTATCTAGTATGATCTTTAAGATTTTTCTGATAACATACACCAAAGTCTTTCTCCCTCTTTTTTATCTAAAAATGGGAAACTAAAAAAAAACTTATTATTTATTGCTTTGTTGTTCCACTTATTGATGCATTCATTGGTTGTTTCTTGTATGTGCCCTGCGTGGGGATCGAACCCACAACTTTGGCGTATCGGGATGACACTCTAACCAACTGAGCCACCCGCCCAGGGTGAAAAGTAGGAAGTTTTTATCAGTAAATGTCAAAATGGTTAGCATGCAGTTTGGTAGAAGGGTAGGAAGTATTTCAGAATCCTCGAAGTTCGAGACACAGTTTCTGACTGAAGAAGAATTCTATTTGTAGAGGCACGACTCGCTGTCCAGTGTGCCCAGCAGCTCCTCGTCGAGGAAGAATTCTCAGGGGAGTAACAGAAGCCTGGGTAAGGAATAAAGTGTCCTACAGCTATATTCTTGAGGGAATTATTTCTACCCAGGAGTAATTTGGAAGTACGTATGATAAAGTGAAAGAAGCCCTAGATGATCACGTCTGCGCTGGCCGTGTTATCTGCATGCGAACATGCGCATCAGATGATCCATTTTTTAGTGTTCAGGCATGAATGCGTCTTTTAAAAGAGTGAAGGTGTTAAATATCTTTTCTTGGTTTGTTTTAAAGTATATTAGCGAAGGAACTTCCTGGAGCATTCGGTGTGAAGGCCATATCCATGTTGTTGGGGAAGTTTTTCTTAGTTTAAGCTTAATTTTTTGAGTTTTGTTATAATTGGGTTAACTTGTTATATCTTCCCCCTAGCACATCAGTAAAACAGCGCGGTGGGAGTGGGGGGGAATGTGTTTTATTAAAGTGTCAACTTTACAGAATAATCGTAGCATTTTTCAGTTGTGCCCTCGAAGTCAGATTCTATCAAAGCTCAATTGGGTTAGCAGGCGCGCATAGCATTTCACACACCTTTGTCCCCTCCGATCAGATACGATCACGCTCTCAGGAGATGAGGGGGACCTGGGGAGGCTGAGTGTGAGAGTGTCCTACAATTCCTCAGCCGAGCAGATCTGGATCACGGTGCTACAGGTGCGTCGGCATAGCAAACACCGGTTTTTCTCGCCAGGTTCGGTATTTAGACACGATGTAAGCATATACTGCTGCTGTCTTCTGGGGAATGGGCCCTCTCTTTCTCTGGAATTTAGGGTTCTGTAGTATTTTGCAGAAAACCGTACTTAGTAAAGAAGTTCAAGACAATAAATTAGTAGGTGCAATGAAAGTGTTTGATTTTTTTTAACCTCAAGAAGGAAATTAATGTGATGTCTAGAACAGTAAATGTCCAGTATTTGAATGCAGATGAAACAGGAGGTCTCAGTAGGCTAAAGTTTACTTTTACAGTTTGTATCTGAAGCCGTTAACTCAAGAAACACATAAAGTATTTGTATGGCGGTGTCCTTTGTAAAACTGAAACTGTATTTAAATTTTCCTTAGTGCAAAGATTTAAGCTGGCCCTCTAGCTGTGGCGATGCTCCTACGATTTCTGTGAAGGGAACGCTGACGTTGCCCAGGCCGGTGCGCTTCAGATCTTCAGCCAAGGAAGCCTCCAATGTAAGTGGCTCTTGGTGTTTGAATTTCTCTTTTTGTTTTTCTCGTATTTGTCACTTTAACCCATGCAAAGAATTGGAATAAGAAACTGTTCTATTTGGGGGAAACTATAGATTATGTACCTCTTGCTTTTTAGTAACAATTTTGAGCCTTAGAAGTATTTGCTATTTCTCTGCCCAATATTAAAGTGCATTTAAAAAGAAAATTTTAATCACTAAAATATATAGAAGGTAAATGATATATAAGAAAACTCTTTACTTTTCTCTTACAAAAAGAAAACAAGTGTCTATATTTTTATCCTCTTTCCCCCCATCCCATATGGCTTTGAGAAATAATTGCATGATTGCAATTAATTTATGATCCTGATTTGGTGTTATAGGCTCCAGATTTCACATTAACTTAAATCTATCTTTATTTCTGTCTCCTGATATGGGGTGAAAGGTTAGTGTTTTTCCATGCAAATCAAAGTTATTTTCTATAAAAACATACATTTAAAACTAAGGTAATTCAAATGTGGAGTTACATATTGTTTTCTCTTTATTGTTTATCTTCCTATCTTTCTTTCTTCTTTTATTAAAACCAGAAAAGGCAGCGAGTGGTGGGGAGAAAATGGAAGCAATTGTACTTGAACACCAGTAAAAAAAAAAAAGAGAAAATTTTAAAAAACAGAAAAAATGTTATAAGTACTGTAGAAAATAAAACTTTCTGAAAATGATTTTAATGATAATACACACCAAAACCTTAAACTATTAATATTTATACTTTTTAAATATAGTTATTCTACTTAGAATCTGTTCCATGCAAATAATTATATATATACAACACATATTATGTACGTATATAAAATACGTATTCAGGGCAGACAAAAGTTTACAGTTTTTGGTAGGAAAAATGTAGGTCTCCGTGCAGGTTGTGAATAGTGCGGTAGCTTTATTTACGCAGGAGGCTGTCACCGCGGCACAGCATGCTCAGGTGCAACCCCGTCCGGCAGGGGCGGCAAACTCATTTTCACCGGGGGCCACATCAGCCTCGAGGTTGCCTGCAAAGGGCTCAATATAACTGCAACTTCTTAACAGTTAAGGAGTAGTTACATTTGTGCAGTCCTAAAACTATATTCAGCCCTTCGAATGTGTAGGGTGTTGGTATTGACCTGAATTCCTGATTCAGTAATTAGCAGGATGATGTGTGGAAATAAGAAAGCAGTATCCAGGATAAATTCTGGAAAAACAAGTTACGGCAATTCTCATTTTCGTTGACATAACAAATTTTTTATTGTTGTGAAAACTCAGGTCTACCTTTCCCAGATTATAAAATGTCATTTTTATTTATTTTGTTTTGGCATATCACTCTTTTTTCAGTCCTTTTATTTATATATGTTTCTTTTCTTTTTTTTAGCCTATTGAATTTCTGGAAACTTTTGTATTTGCTATTAAACTCCAAAGTCTCCAAACTGTAAGGCTTGTGTTCAAGATTCAGACCCAGACTCCCAGGAAGAAGACTGTCGGAGAGTGCGCGCTGTCACTCAGAACCCTCGGCACGCAGGAAACGGATTACTCTCTGGAAATAACACCACCTTCGAAAATCTCTGTAAGTGACAGTAGTATGGAAATAACCCTGGGCTATGAATAATTTTAAATTATTAATTTATTTTATTTTATTTATTTATTTTTGGGAAGGGAGGGGGGGGAGAGAGAGAGAGAAACATCAATGTGCGGTTGCTGGGGGCTGTGGCCTGCAACCCAGGTATGTGCCCTGGCTGGGAATTGAACCTGCGATGCTTTGGTTCGCAGCCCGCGCTCAATCCACTGAACTATGCCAGCCAGGGCTAAATTATTAATTTTTTATAAAGTATTTTTTAGTAGCAGATAACTTAGGAAAAGCAGGAAAGAATCATGAACCATAAACTCCATCAGAGATTGCCTTCAAATAGATTAAGAAAGTTGTTTTTAATCATGAGTCAACTATATATCTGCCCATAAATTGGGTATAAAGGAAGTTCTGACAGCTGGAATGTTTATTTTTTTTATCCTCCCCTATGGACAGCTTAGTGATTTTAGAGAGAAGGGGAGACGGGGAGAGAGAGGGGAAGAAGCATCGGTGTGAGAGAAAAACACTGACTGGTTGCCCCTCACATGTGCCCGACTGGGGACTGAACCTCACTCTAGGTATCGTCCTGACCAGGAATGGAACCCACGACCTTTCCGTTTATGGGACAATGCTCCCCGAGCTGAGATACACCGGCCAGGGCACAGCTGGTATTTTTTGTAAAGACCTTGATTAGCTACAGTGTTGGTTTATTTTTGAGACCTGATATTTGCTTCTCTCAGCTAGCCACCTGAACATTTAAATTGTTTAGAAGTCCCTAATAACTTAATTATATAGTGTCTATGTCAGGATAACATTTATAGACATCAGCCATAAGCTTTTATAAGGTTGAAGTTTATGTGATTTTAAATTTATATAGGGTTTATATTTTAGCTACTTTTCAAAAATATTTAAGATGACTTGAAGGGATTTTTAACCCTGGGTACACATTAGTATCACCAAGGGAGCTTTGAAAAAATGCCCACCCCTAAACCAGTTAAATCAGAATGGTTGGGGGGTGTAGGACCAGAGGGACCTGTAAGTTTCAAAAGCCCTGCAGGTGGTTCTGATGTGCAGCCTGGCCTGAGAATCACTGAATTTGGGGGAAATTAAGTATTACAAAAATTAAAAACCAAGGATTACTATACCTGATCAAGAATAGTTGAAATTGCTTGATTTCTTTATTCCTTGTCTATTATTTTCTGTCTCCATCCCCCAGTGGGTTTTTTGTAGCATCTATTTCCACTTAGAATTATTTACATTACTGGTTTTAAGCAAAATAAGACTCAAGCTTACATCTTTCTTCATGTTTTGCTGGGGTCTTAATGAGGGCCTCTCATGTTCTTGCATTGAGTATTTGTATGTAGACAGAGAGGGAAGAATAAATGATGAATGAAAACATGCTAGATCAGGGTGTTTTCTCTTCAAATAGAGCAAATTTGTTTTGTAGCTGATAGGGGTTTGTCGCTTGCATCTTTGAAACGAGCTTAGTAGATAGTAATCCTCAACAATATTTTATAGAAGGCACAAATATTCAAATGGATAATTCAGGTATTAAAACTGAAATCTGAGAGACTGGTAGAATATATCAGACTCAGCAGAGGTATTTTCTGGGAAATTGAGACATTATAATCTTATCTGCTTGGAGAATCTGAATGAGTGATTATGGTTCAGTTTCTATCAAATTGTATATCAGAGGTTTTATATCAGCAAGGGTTTTATTTTATATATGGCTGTTGAATTAGTTCATGTGAAAAGATGTATTATGAATTCATTCTTAATCTGATTGAACGCAAAAGCAGTACATTCAGTTATGTATTAGAATTTAGCATAGCATTACCCTTCGCCAAAATAGGGAAGTTTATCATTATTTTAGACTTAGCATAGGACAGTTTAACCTCAACAGTTGAGTTTGTGCTTTTAAGTGATTCACTTTGCACTCTCTCTTGATTTCTTATGGCACAACCAATTTTAAAACTCAGTATCCCGTTTTGGGTAAATGCCCAAGATTCAGTCAGTGGCCCATACCTAGAAAGGTTCTTTCTTAGGGAGCTGGGAGCCAGTTACTGGGGCTGCCGGGCGATCATCACATTTGAGCCTCTCGTAACGCGTCATCTGGCTCTGCCGTAGCTTTGTCGGAACCAGCACTAGCAAAGGCTTCTGTGTCTGTCTCTGCTGAGCCCTGTGAGACCTCTTAATGTTCTGTTCCTGCTCCGTCCTCTTCCTTACACTTTTCAGCACGGGAAAGGTCATGTGTTCGTGTCTGGACAGCTTTATGTCTCTCTCCTTTCTTGTTCACTCCAAGGGCCCTAGCCGGCGGGCAGGCGCGTGTCCTCTTTCAGACAAGTCACCGGCTTCATTCCGCTCCTAGTCGGCAGGACTGAGGAGAAGCACGTTTTTGCTCTGCCCCCTCTCTACGCCTCCTTCATTCCATCGCTTGCCTCACTCGGGCTTTCTTTGACCTTTTCCTCGTGTTTACTGCTCGGAACGCGCACTAGCTCCCTTCTCGCCGGCTCCCTATGTGGGCTCGCTCCCATTCAGCGTGGTAACTCGGCTCCCAGCCCACAGGCCTGTGCACCGTAGTGACCTGTCGTCTCCTGAGTTTGGTGGCACCTACTCTGATCCCCACAGTTAGAAAAAATAAGAATGATCCTCACTTACTATGTTTTCAAATCGTATTTCCTATGTTCTCAAATAAATAATTCAAAGGAGTACATTTAAGTGTTTTGACAGTGTGCTTGCTCTTTGGTGCTTATTGCACTGACGTTTGCTCTACTAAACCACTTACCAGTTTCATTTGTTTCCAGTTTGCCTTGTCTTTTGGTCTCCCTGATTTTGAAGGATCAGTGTGTAGCTGTCACTTGTAGTTTCAGAGTTCATGAAAGTCATCACCTCGTTTGTACAAAATCCACGCCTTTTATCTTCTAAACCTAATAATGTATAACTTTGTGTGCCGATGAAAAGCAGCGACCTCACAATCTCTAATCTTAGCTCTTCGTTTTTGAATTTTTGAAATATCTCAAAACTTGATTCTTCATTACCAAAGGACACTTTTTTGACGTGCAGGTTTGCCATGCGGAACTTGAACTGGGGACTTGTTTTCAAGCGGTAAACAGCAGGATTCAGTTACAGATTCTGGAGGCACAGTACCTTCCGAGTTCCCCAACGCCTCTGACTTTGAGTAAGTATTTCAGTGGTTCAAAGTGGAATCTAAAGAAAATACTAGTAAGAGATAGTTTTTTCCTCCACTTCCTGCAATGGAGATGAAAATTTTAGTGATTTTTATTATTCAACTCAAGCAGTTATATTTTAACTTAAAATCACTTTATTGGACTTCAGATTTTAGCCACTGTGTCTGCCTGAACCCGCCAGTCTCTTGGTTCTTCCCGGTGGTGACCTCTCTGCATCTGAGGCTGTGCCTTGTTCGGCTCATTAGTAGCTGCAGACTGAGTGTCCTGAGGACCGTCACATACGTCTTACCAGCCTTCATGGTCTATCCTGCATCTTTCGTCTGATACTCCGCTAACGAGACACTTAATTTCAAAAAAACAAAAATACCGAACACAACCCCTGGAACACTTTTTCCTCCCTGCCCTGTGGGCACAGCCAGGGGTTGTGATACTTGTGCTGTGCAGGCCGGGTTCACATGGCCACCCCAGAGCTGGAGGTCCAGGTCCGTTCGGCCTGGAGGGCGAAGGGTGGGGCAAGAGCACTCCTCCCTCCTACTAGAAGGGAAAGTATCTGGATGTCCATGGTAACTAATGAGCCTGAAAATTAATACAACTCAGTGTTCAATTCACAAGGCTAGAAAAACAGCGATCACAGAGGAAAGACGTAAGGAATTAAAGCCAGAGTTGAGGTTGATAAATATTGAGGCAACAACAAAAGATGATCAATAAAACCAAAAGTTTTTCTTTGAAAAGATCATGAAAATAGACGAACCTATAGTAAGCTACATCAAGCAAAAAGTAGAGAATATGAACAGGGATGAGGCTATAATTCCAAATTCAGAAGAGATTTCATAATAAATAAGACAATCCTATTTATAACTACCAGTGCATTTGAAAGTTATTTAAAATAAATGGCTTTTTAATATATATCCTTGAGATCTGCTCTATTTTATTTTATTTTGTTGTTCAAGTACAGTCATCTCCATCTTCACCCCACCGTGGCTGCCCGCTCCACGCATCCCTGTCTCCTACCCTGAAGCCCACCCCTTTTGGCTTTGTCTCTGTGCCCTTTATACGTGTTCCCTGATGGCCCTTCCCCTGTTTTCCCCATTATCGCTCCCCACCCCACACCTGTCGTTACTGTCAGCTTGTTCTTTATTTCAGTGTCTCTGGTTGTATTTCGGAACCTAATCAACCAAACAAGCAAGCAAGCAAAAAAATAAGTGATTTTTTAAGGACAATTGTTCAAGTTCACTAGAGAAGAAAATCTGAATAAAACTAAGTGAAATAAGCCAGGCGGTGAAAGACAAATACCATATGATCTCACCTAAAACTGGAACCTAATCAACAAAACAAGCAAGCAAAATATGACCAGAGACACTGAAATTAAGAAGAAACTGACAGTAACCAGAGGGGAGGTGGGAGGAGATAATGGGGGTAAAGGGGGAGGGGTCTCCAGGAACATCTATAAAGGACACATGGAGGAAACCGAAGGTGGGCAGGATCACGGGTGGGAGATGGGGATGGCGGGGGGTAGGGGGAGAGTGGGGGGGGCGGGGTGGAAATTGAGACAACTGTATTTGAATAACAATGAAAAAAGAAAGATTGATGAAAAATAATAAAAGCAAGAAAATCTCAGTAAAACAAAATCTGTATAAAGATAGTTAACTTTTAATAAAAGCACGAGGCCGAGATGATTTTACTGGCAGATTCTACCCAAACCTAAGGAATATAAAATTCCTATTTTATATAAGCTGTTCCAAAGCATGAAAAAAAGATGGAAAAAGTTATTTTATGGGGTTAGCATATTCTTTATGTCAAAGCAGAAAGGACAGTATGTGCAAAAATAGCTATAGACTGCCATCACTTATGGAGACAGATGGAAAAACCATAAAAAATAAGCAAAAGAATGTCTAACTTGGTATTAAAATAGGAAATTACCAGGACTACGAAGTGTTAATTCTAGGAAACAGAGACAGCAGTAGAAACCTACAGGTGTAATTTATTGTATTAACAGGCGTCTTCCTTTAATCAAAACCGCTAATCGGGATTACCAGGGACCTCTGTTTTGTCAATCGAATGGCCAGTCTCAGCCCCTCCGTCTTTGCCAGGTCTCTGCCAGTCTCTGCGGCTCCCTCCTCTCTTGCTCCCCGGCATCCTCAGCTCTGTCCTAACACTGACTGACCAGTGTTAGGCTTGGGAGTTTGCTTGGGTGAAAAGCCGTAGAAACCCGAATTTCGCCCAGTGCACTTCCCGTCTTCCGAGCGCTGACTCCTTTCCAGTTTCTGCTTTCGGTCAGTCTTTAGTGTCTGAAGTCATTGTTCCTTATTATTTCCCCCAGGGTTTGTAACTGTTATCCATGGGAAGGTTAGTTTGTACAAGCTGGCCTACCATTGCTGGAAGCTCTACATCTCAAATTTATTTAAGTAATGGATTTTCGCTAGGGAGCGTATGTTGAACTTCCGGAGCCTCGAACACAGAGTTTTACCTCTGTGACACTGTGAAGTCTACTCCTCCAGCCGTCCAGAAAAGGTGGCCCCTCTCTTTTGTGTAACCTTTTGCGGTGCACCCTCCCCGGCAGCTGATCGTTACTTGTGCCTGCAGTTGCAGTCTCTAAGGCCTGCAGTTCCGGTCTGTAATGCCACTCCCACTGGAGGGAGATTAAATTCGTCTGGGGTTGCAGTAGCTCATTATGGAGTGTGATAAAAATTAGAGTTTACTAAAGGTGTTTTCAGTAGCTCATCAGATCTTGAAAAAGGGGCTTCTTTATATTTTTACATCAAACATACATATCTTTATATGGTGTTTTAGATGACATTTTATGTATCAGAATTTCTTATTTTTTAGGTTTTTTTGTGAAGGTGGCGATGTTCAGCTCGGGCGAGCTGATTTATAAGAAGAAGACACGCTTACTGAAGGCCTCCAATGGAAGAGTCAAGTGGGGAGAGACCATGATTTTTCCACTCGTGCAGAATGAAAAAGAAATCATTTTTCTCATCAAGCTTTATAGCCGGAGCTCTGTGAGAAGACGGCATTTTGTGGGGCAGGTTAGTAGGGGGTAGTTTTTACCTTGGATTCTTTCCTCGCACTTTTCTGTGCATTTGAACAGCTGGCGAGCAAAAGGGATACAGGGTAAAACTGGAGTTGGGTGTTGTACAAGTCTTCGGCATCGTAACAAAAAATTCAGTGTTGCTGCAAAAATTGAATCATCAAAATAAGTTTCTTTTTTCAAATACACTTTACATTTTTATTGTGGGGAAAATACATCTTTTTTGGTGCTTTTTAACTTTTAAAACAAAGAGAACAGTCAGTTTTTCAGCACTGTTCTCCTTGTGAAGGAGGGACCACTGAGTATTTGAATTACATTTCTTAAGGCTTCTGATATCCAACTTTATTCTTTTTATGTTCAGTTTAATGTTTAACTCTGTCTGCTGTTAACTGAACTATGTGAGATTTGACTCATAGAAGGCATCATTTTTATAGTAGTTTTGATGTTATTTAGATCGTCAGTACAGGTGTCTGGATGAATCTGTTTTAAAGTTCTCACTGCTTTGTGTGAGGCAACACAGCGCTTGCCCCCTTGCAGACTCTCGGGGACTTGTTTCCTCTGCGTGGACCAGCGGGAGCTGTCTGCTGTGTTTTACCGTAATTACAGTGGTTTGACGCACATTTAAATTCCAAAATCTGTATTATTGACAACATGTGATTAGCACCACACTCTGTAGGGCAGGTTAGAGCACCCCCCCCCCATGGCTATTCTGTAACTACCTAGTTCTTAATCCCCTCACCTCCTCACCCACTCCCCCACACCCTCATCCCATCTCGCAACCATCAAAGTGGCCTCTGTATCCATGATTCTGTCTCTGCTCTTGTTTGCTTAGTTTGCTTTTTGGATTCCATTGTTGATAGGTTTGTATTTTTTTGCCACAAAATCCTCAAACTGTATGTGAATTTTCAAAGATTAATAACTCTTTGACTTCATATATTTTACCTACAACACTTGTAAAAAAAAGTACAGGTTTGTTCTTCATTTTTTCTTACTCAAAAAGGTTAAACTTAACAATTTATATAGCGTACTCTTCTAAGCTATAGGGCCCATGAAGTGAATTCTGTGAAAGTTTTCCTGTATCAAGCCTCAACTATCATTTTTGAATGGAATAGATTTACTCGACAGATGACTTTCAGCATAACTTTTTTGGTGATTCTACTTCCTTGGTTAAGATACAATTAAGAGCAGTACTTCTGGAAAGGTGCTTGCTGGCCGTCTGTCCCCTGTGGCTCCTCGGGTGGCTCCGGGAGCCACCGTGGTGGAGCAGCCGAGTGTGGAGTCGAGACCGCCCGGTCCTACGCCAGCCAGGCTCTCTCACGTCACCTGGTTTCATGTCGGGGTTTGTAAGAGTTTATGGGAAGGAAAAGTTCCTCAGACCAGGAAATTAAGGGGAAAAGTTTAAAAACCAGGGAGCGACCTGCTTTAATGTCTCTAAAATAATTAGAAACTGAGTCTCAGAGAAGTTAATTTCAAGGCAATAGCATCTGTCAGTGTTAGAGCTGAGGTGGGAATTCGGGGTTTTTGATTCCTTGTCCATATTACCCGCTTGACATGTAACCATCGTGCTGTCTTACCTTTGCCTAATGCTTTGCAGTTTCCCCAAGTTCATTCACATCTCTTATCTGCAGTTACATAGGGGATGCATACCATGAAATTATTTACTATGGGTGGAAAATGACTACTCACTAGATTTCAATTAAAATGACCATTTTATATAGTGTACAAGGTGCATAAAATTGCACATTTCTCAACAATCCAATTTCAATCAAGATTAGTCTGAGCCAGTCTTCACAAAAGTTTTTGAGTGATAGGGATCAATTTTCAGTTAGGCTGCTAGATTTATTGAATAAGAAAGGATACTAATTGTTTTGAAATGATTATGTAATATCTCATATTGAATATTTTTAAAGATTTTTTTAATTCACTTTTAGAGAGAGAAGGGGGGGAGAGAGAGAGAGAGACAGAGAAACAGAAACATCAATGTGCGGTTGCTGGGGGTTATGGCCTGCAACCCAAGCATGTACCCTGGCTGGGAATCAAACCTGTGACACTTTGGTTCGCAGCCCGCACTCAATCCACTGAGCTACGCCAGCCAGGGCTCACATTGAATTTTTAAATTGAATTGAATCATATGAAGTAGTCCTCAAACTAAATAGGTTAAATGTTTTCTTTTTTAATGTATTTTTAAAAATTATATTTTATTGATTATGCTATTACAGTTGTCCCAATTTTTCTATCTTTGTCCCCTCCAGCCAGCACCCCCCACTTCCTCAGGCAATGCCCCCACCATTGTTCATGGCCATGGGTCATGTGTATAAGTTCTTTGGCTGCTCCACTTCCTACACTGCACTTTATATCCCCATGGCTATTCTGTAACTGCCTATTTGTACTTCTTAATCCCCTCCCCTCTTCACCCCCTCCCGCATATCGCCATCCCATCTCAAAACCTTCAAAATGTTCTCCGTATCCATGATTCTGTCTCTGTTCTTTTTGTTTGCTTACTTTGCTTTTTGTATTCAATTGCTGATAGATTTGTATTTTTTACCATTTTATTGTTCATAGTTTTGATCTTCTTTTTCTTAAATAAGCCTCTTTAACATTTCAGATAATAATGGTTTGGTGATGATGAACTCCTTTAGTTTTTTCTTGTCTGGGAAGCTCCTTATCTGCTCTTCGATTCTAAATAATATCTTTGCTGGGTAGGGTAATCTTGCCTGTAGGTTCCTGTTTTTCATGACTTTGAATATTTCTTGCCAATCCCTTCTAGCCTGAAAAGTTTATTTTGAGAAATCATCTGATAGTCTTATGGGAACTCCCCTGTAGTTAACTAACTGCTTTTCTCTTGCTGCTTTTAAGATTTTCTCTTTATCTTTAATATTAAGCACTTTACTTATGATGTGTCTTGGAGTGGGCCTCTTCACATCCATCTTGTTTGGGACTCTCTGTGCTTCCTGGACTTGCATGTCTATTTCCTTTACCAAATTAGGGGAGTTTTCTTTCAGTAATTTTTTCAAATAGATTCCCACTTTCTTGCACTTTCTCTTCTTCTGGGACCCCTGTGATGCAAATGTTGGAATACTTGAAGTTGTCTGAGAGGCTGCTGATACTCTCCGCATTTTGGGGGTTCTTTTTCCTGCTTGTTGTTCTGATTGGTTGTTTTTGCTTCCTTATGTTCAAATTATTGATTGGATTCTCGGTTTCATCCACTCTACTGTTGTTTCCCTGTAAATTGTTCTTTATTTCAACTAGTGTATCCTTTGTTTCTAACTGGATCTTTTTTATGCTGTTGAGGTCCTCACTAAGTCCCTTGAGCAAACTTACAACCAGTGTTTTGAACTCTGCAAGTGATAGATTGCTTCTCTCCATTTTGTCTGGTTCTTTTTCTGGAGTTTTGATCTGTTCTTTCATTTGGGCCATGTTTCTTTCTTTCATCATTTTAGCAGCCTCCCTGTGTTTGTTTCTATGTATTACATAGAGCCGCTTTGAGTCCCTGTCTTGGTAGCATGGCCTAATGTAGTAGGTGTCCTGTAGGGTCCAGTGGCACAACCTCCCCTATCACCCAAGCTGGTACTCAAGTGTGTCTTTTGTGTGGGCTGAGTATACACTCCTCTTGGTTGATGTTGGCAGGTCAATGGGAGGGATTTACCCAGGCCAGTCAGCTGTAAGAACTGATTGTGACCACTCGCCACCACCCTCTGCCCTCCATGGAGAATCAGCTGTGCAGGGTCAGGGTGGTGGTGCTCCAACTTGGTCTGTAACTGTCCACTGAGTGCACTGGCCCTGAGGTTTCCTGGGTGGTGCAGGCCAAAGTCATCCCCCACCTGTGTTTTGCCCAGGGCCACCCTGCATGAGCTATAAAGCCTTCTGAGATGACTACTCCTTGTTCTGGGCTTAGAAATTCCCAGGCAAAGCCAAGCTGTGAATCTCAGCCTGCTTCTGCTACTGCCAGGCCTGGGGCTCACTGAGGCCAGCTGTTGCTTGTTTGAGAGGGTAGAGAAAGTTGTAAGTGTGAGCTAAGACCAGCCATTCATATGAAAAAGCAGCTTGGGTGGGCCTTATAAATTGGGGGGCTAGTCTCTGGGGATCTCCAAGGTGGTTCAAACAGTGTTAGCCAGGTTGATAAAGTCACAGATAGGGCACCAGCCTCCTGGCTCTGTGGGGGAGTGTTTAGAAAAGGGACAATGGCCTCTGCTCGCCTTGACGCCAGACCCTTCAGTTCCTCCCTGTGTACCACTGGTGCCTTTCTTTCAGGTTGCCTCCCTAGTGCTGGAGCTCAGAGGGAATGAGTCTGAGTAGGTGATTCCATGTGTGGGTTCTTTAAGAACTGCTTGAGGCTCCAGAAGTTTCTTCCATTGACTCAATCCCCACAGGTTTATGCAGCTAGAAGCTGTGGGGACTTATCTTCCTGGCACTGGAACCCTGTTGGGGGGGCGGGGGGCTTGGTGATGGGTCTAGGACTCCTCGCTGCCGAGATATCCCTCCCACAATTTTATCCACCACACATGGGCGAGAGACCAGCCTGTTCTGTGTCTGTGCCCCTACTACTAGTCTGGATGGGTGTGGTTTCTTTAATTCCATAGTTGTCAGACTTCCATTCAACTGGATTTCTGATGGTGCTGAGTGACGGCGGTTCTATATTTTAGTTGTAACTTTGATGTGGTTGTGCGAGGAGGCGAGCCGTGTCTGTCTGTGCCGCCATGTTCAAAGGCTTAACTTTTTCAAACTTAACTTTTAAGTTTCATATAGAGAAATCAAACAAACTTCAGGAAAAATGGAAAGATGTTTAACTGAATATATGTAAACCAAACTTCCAGTTGTCTTTTATCAATAAGATTAATGAACTGAACTCACCATTACCGTGTCAAGTGAAATGGTTGTGCTGTTCCTTTACAGATCTGTGTAAGCGAAGACAGTAATAACATCGAAGCAGCAAACCAGTGGAGAGAGACAGTTACAAATCCTGAAAAGGTTGTTACCCAGTGGCACAGATTAAATCCATCTTGAAGACTGCACATATTATTTGGGGAAGAAATTGACCTTCTTTTAGAAGACTTCAATTTGCTACCAATGAGAAGAGACAAACCATTATATTTCTCAAGTTATTTATGAGGGTCATAATTATAGTATATAATGGACCTGTTAGAAAATTGAACTTGATAAAAAATAGTATGAATTGTATCAAATATCCAAAGTAAAGGAAGTGTTTAAAAATTCTTCCAAAATAGACCATAAAATAAAATGTTTGTATTATTAGGGCAACTAAATAAATTTAAAAAAACAATGAAAGTATCAACCATGGATAGTTACTACTATATTGTATTTATCGATTTTTTAAAAAGTTTTACTGAGATATTCTTAATCTAGTGTGTCAAGTCTCTGTTAGTACTATTACACACTTAGCAGACTGACCACTGTCGCAGTGCTGCTCATTACTGATTGTATCTCAGCTTCGCTGTTTACTTCTTGCTGCACATTTTGTCTCAGGATGCAGAAATTTTACTTTCTTTTTGCTAATGAGTAGACCAAGTGCTCTGTGTTCATGGTCTCCCATTTTTTCTCTCTTACCTTGTCTCACACATGCCAAGAAATAGCTGGTGATGTTTTAGGCCAGGGGTACACTTTGGATTAGCTTAAGTATGCCCTCTTCATTCCAGTTCCTCTGTTCTGTGTATCTTATTAAGATTTTTCCCAAAAAATACTTAATCCCCCTTATCCTAGATATTTCCTCTTGAAACTATAAGATGCACAAACTTTTCAAGCACTTTGCTCCTACTGCCTAGAGTTTATGCTACACCGGTGGTGTTGATGGGTATTCTCTGTGCATTTTGTGCTATTGATTTTTAGGGAGTAAGAGAAAGGGGGCGGGAAGGGAGAGAGAGGAAGGGAAAAGGAAAGAGAAAGAGAAAGGAGGAAAGAAATTTAGATTTGTTGTTCTACTGATTTATGCCTTTATTTGTTAATTCTTGTATGTGCTATGACTGGGGATTGAACCCACAACCTTGACATATCAGGATGATACTCTAACCATAACTACCCAGCCAGGGCTAAAATGCTTTTTTTTTTTTAATTTGTGAAGAGTGGCACATTGGTCAATTCTCAAGTGGACTTTTAAGATAAATCACCTTGTGTGGTAGTCTTTTGAATGAGACAAATGGTAGCTGTTTAAAATACATTTATTAGCGACTTCCGGCCAAGATGGAGGCATAGGTAGACACACTGTGCCTCCTCACATAACCAAAATAAGGTCAACAACAATTTAGAAACAAAAAACAACCAGAACTGACAGAAAATTGAACTGTATGGAAGTCTCAACAACCAAGGAGTTAAAGAAGACACATTCATCCAGACAGGTAGGAGGAACAGAGTTGGGCAGCTGGGTGGAGAAGGGTCACGGCAGGGCAGTGGGTGGACCCAGCAAGGCAGTGGATTGTGGGGGGCCCTGTGCACAAGGCAGCAGCTGACTGGGTGGTCCCACATTCACATGCAGATAAACCAGGTGAAACTGGGGAACAGGACAGACTGCGCAAGCCAGGGCCCCAGTGCTGGGAAATAAAGCCTCAAAGCACCGATTGAAAACACCTGTGGGGGTTGAGGTGCCACGAGAGACTCCCAGCCTCACAGGAGAGTTTGTTGGAAGGACCCACAGGGTCCTAGAACATGCACAAGCTCACCCACCCGGGAATCAGCACCAGAAGGGCCCAATTCGCCTGTGGGAAGCGGCAGAAGGGACTGAAATCTGGCAGGGAATGGAGCAAGCACCATTGTTCCCTCTCAGACCCTGCCCCCACATAAGCATCACAACGCAGACACTGGGTGGCCCTGCCCTGGTAAATACCTAAGGCTCTTCCCCTCCTATGTAACAGGCACATCAAGAAAAAAAATGGCCCAAACGGAGGAACAGATCAAAGCTCCAGAAAAAATACAACTAAGTGACAAAAAGGTAGTCAACCTATCAGATGCACAGTTCAAAACACTGGTAATCAGGATGCTTACAGAATTGGTTGAATTTGGTTGCAAATTAGATGAATAAATAAAGGCTACGCTAAGTGAAGTAAAGGAAAATGTACAGGGAACCAATAGTGATGGGAAGGAAACTGGGACTCAAATCACGAGTGTACCAGAAAAGAATGAAGAAACAAGAATTCAAAAAAATGGGGAGAGGCTTAGGAACCTCCAGGACATCTTTAAATGTTCCAACATCCCAATTACAGGGGTACCAGAGGGAGAAGAGGAGGAGCAACAAGTGGAAAAGTTATTTGAACAAATAATAAAGGAGAACTTCCCCAATCTGGCAAGGGAAATAGACTTCCAGGAAGTCCAGGAAGCTCAGAGAGTCCCAAAAGAGTTAGACCCAAGGAGGAACACACCAAGGCATATCATCATTACATTACTCAAGATTAAAATTAAGGAGAAAATCCTAGAATCAGCAAAAGAAAAGGAGGCAGCTGCCTACAAAGGAGTTCCCAGAAGACTGTCAGCTGATTTTTCAAAAGAGACCTTACAGGCAAGAAGGGGCTGGAAAGTATTCCAAGTCATGAAAGACAAGGACCTACATCCAAGATTGCTCTATCCAGCAAAGCTTTCATTTAAAATGGAAGGGCAGATAAAGTGCTTCTCAGATAAGGTCAAGTTAAAGGAGTTCATCATCACCAAGCCCTTATTATATAAAATGTTAAAGGGATTTATCTAAGAAAAAGAATATAAAAACATGTACAGTAAAATGACAGCAAACTCACAATTATTAACAACCCCACCTGAAACAAAACCAAAAAGAAACTAAGCAAACAACTAGAACAGGAACAGAACCACAGAAATGGAGATCACATGGAGGGTTAGCAACAGGGGAGTGGGAGGAGGAAAGAGGGGGGAAAGGTACAGAGAATAAGTAGCACAGATGGTAGGTAGAAAATAGGGGGAGGGTAAGAATAGTGTGGGAAATGTAGAAGCTAAGGAACTTCTAAGTATGACACATGGGCATGAACTAAAGGGGGGGAATGTGGATGGGAGGGGGTGTGCAGGGTGGAGGGGCGTGAAGGGGGAAAATGGGACAACTGTAATAGCATAATCAATAAAATATATTTTCTAAAAAATAAATACAATATATTTTTTAAATAGACTTTGTTTTAGGTTCATACCAAAGTTGAGAGGAGGGTGCAGAGAATCCCCTTATATCCCCGGCCCCCAGACATGCACAGCCTCCCCCGCTACCAGCAGCTCGCCCCGGAGTGGTGCCCGTGTTACAGTCCATGGACCTACATCGATGTACCCTTGTCACCTGACATCCATAGCTTACATTAGGGTTCACTCTGGTTTTCTGTGAGTTTTGATAAATGCCTAGTGACATGTTTTACTACTTTAAAAGTCCTCTGCAAATGCAGCTATTTTAATAGCTACTGGAAAAGTAAGTGTATTGGCTTTTAGATAATAAATAATGGATTTTATTGTTTTAAGAAATCTAGAACTTTGAGCAGTTTTTTCTGTGTTCTATCATTGCTGTCAATTTTTAAGTTTATTATTTGTAGTTATGTACGTAACTCAATTTTTAATTATTTAATTTGCAAAATGGAGACAACTGTACTTGAACAACAATGAAGATAAAAAGAGTCCTTTCAGGTAGAGGTACTGGCACAGCTAAGATCCCAGACACGTTCATTAGTGTTGACTTGAGCCTTCCTCAGGTGAAGAGGTACTGAATAAAGATATTGTGGTGGTTTCTCCGAAGATTTACATGGACATATAAAAAGAAACACACTGTTCTGTTCACAGCGAGTCATGAGGAAAACATTAGAAGCCTGTAATAAAAATATGAGATACTGTGCAAAAATCACTTCCCTGTGTATTTGCTTGGGCATTTCTTGACCTTTGCTCACTTGTAATGAGAAGGGAACCAAAATAACACAGAGCAGCCAGACAAAGTCCTGGAAGGTTCGTTTTGCTAGCTGATGGTTTGCACAGTACTCTTTCCTGACAGTGTATTTACTTAGAAGCTTTCAGATGAATACAGTTAGATATCTGCAGCCCGTGTCAAAACATAACATTGCCATTTGGCTTTCATTTAGTTGTGCATGATTTTTTAAGTGTAACTCCTAGAGAAATTACCACCAAAGTGTATCAGTTCCAACTCTTATCAGACTATTAAGAAAGGAACCAGTAGGATTTTAAACATATGTTATGTAATTGTGGTCTGAAAATAACCTCAGCTGAACTGTTGGTTGAATTCAATTATATGAATTTCTCTGATACTAATGTGCTGAAACTGTATTTCCCAGCAACAGTTTCCATTGTTTGTTTAATGAGATAATTGCTTATTTGTGAAGGATTTCAGAAATTTGCCAAGAATTTCAATTTTTTATATTGTGGCCATTATGGATATTTCAAAAATACACATTTCTTCTCACTCTACATCACCTCTCTGGGCAATCTCAGCTTTTCTCCTGACTTCACCTGCTGTCTGCCAGCAGACGGCTGTCGAGTTTAGGTCCTCACCCCAACGTTGCTAATGAGCTCCACTGTCGCTTGGATCATGCGGACATTATTTCTCGAACATATCCCAGGCCAAACTTTTGGTGTTGCATTCCTTCCACACACCCGGCCCTCACTGGTCCCCGTCTAAGTACAAGGGACGATCCCCCAGCTGTTTCGCCATCCCAGCATCCTAGCAGCCACTTTGGAAGTCCTCTTCCCCTCACCTCTCATCACTCTACCCGTTACCCTATTCAGAAACGCACGTCCTAAGTGGACTTGACCGGAACTTCGCTCGTCAGTGACGACGTGGTCTCCCACCTCCAGTACTGCACCCACCCCGGAACTGGTCTCCCTGCCTCCCTGTTAGTTCTTGCTCACCCGCTCCCCACCCAGCAGCCAGAGTGGTACCCTTGAAACACAACTGCGGTTACCATTCCTTAGTTCCCACTGCTCTTGGTGGGAAACCCAGCATCCTCAACTGGTCTCCCAGGTGCAGCATGGCCCAAGCTCCGCGTCCCATTCCAGCCTCATCCTGGACTAGTCCCGCCGACCTGCCTTCAGGTCTCGGAGGGAAGCGCACCCCCAGTGTCCTTGGGACCTTTACACGGGAGTAGTCATCCTCTTTATTCTGTCCTTTGCTAAGTCCTGGTCGTTTTTTAGATGTTAGCTTAAGTATCTGTTTCCCAAGAGAAGAGTCTTTTTTTTTTTTTTTTTTACATCTTAGTCAATATTAAGTTCTACGGTCATATATGATTTTCCTTTATAGCATTTATCATAACTGTGATTAAATCATTACGTAATTTTTTGTGTAATGTC